CCAATAATGATATCTCAAACAAGGATTACATAGGGCATCAGACTGTTAACACTGGTACAGTGATAGCCTAGGATATCTTAAACAATGCTACAGGAACAATACAGGTTGTTGTGTTATCACATTAATTTGAATTAATATCAAAATATATGTGAATTGCTGATTTATAACCTTTTTCCTAAGCAGCATTTTCTGTATGTGATTTTGCATAGGATTAGGAATGACTTGCAATACTGTTTGTTTGTTTTTAATTTAATGCAAAAGTTTTTTTTTTTTTTTACAATTGTATTGACATAAGCAAATATGCTTAGGAATGAATTAAAACATCCAAACAAATTCAGTCTCGGGAGCTATTTTGGTTTCTTTCCTGTTTCAACAACAACCGAAGCAACAGTATAACTGAATTATACACATCATGCTTATATCCTGGACAACTGACCTTCAAAATCTTTTCTGGTACCTCAGGCAGAAGTTCCTGAAGCTCAGCAAAAGATGCTGCCAGGAGCCATTCGAGTGAAGAACTTTTCTTTAGCATGACTTGAGCAACTAATGGATTCATGCATGGAAATGTAAGCAAGCATTTCTCTGCCTAGAGAAAAAAATAGAACTAGAATTAGATTTACTGTATATTTTGTTTAGGTATTCTACCATAAATGAATCCAGGCAACTGAAGATGATATGTGGTTATTCTGTTGACCATAGCTAACTGTAATTTGGATAGTTAGCCATTTCTTTTCTGAAATAGTTTAGAATTTTATGTGTTTCCCTTTTTTATTTTAACTGTGCTTTTTTTTTTTAAATTGCTGGTCTATGACCAAATAAAAGTGGATTGATTGGCAAAGAGATTACATTACTGCTATAATTGTCTAATTATAAGAAGGAAAAAGGGGGTTGGGTGAATAGATGAACAGGATAAACTGATATTTCCTGATGGTCAACAAAGTTTGCATCTGAAAAATTATAGATAACTAATTCACTATGAAAGCCTCCAACTTGCAGTGATACTTGGACTCATTTCCAAAATATAACATTCTCTTGAATCCACAATATTCTCTTCTATTCATCTCACAAAACAGAAACCCCAAATCATCTTTAAATTAATCCTTCTAAATAAACGCTTCTAAAATTAATATATTCTCCGGGTCCAATGGAAGATTATTTTCAAAATAAAATTCTCCCCTCCAATTCAATTTCTTCTCAAATAACTTTCAATGTACTTACTTCTATTGCCATTCCAACTAACCTCTTACACTTTGTCATGTTACCATAGAGTAGTGATGGTTAATCTTTTTGGCACTGAGTGCTGAAACTGGAGCGTGCAGAGCACCAGAACTTGGAAGAGAGCAGCTGCTTTTCTGTGTGCATGCGTGCCAGAAAGTTGGTCTGGCACACATGCGCACCAGCCAGCTGCTCTCTTCCAGGTTCCAGCATGCATGTGTGCACCTGCCAGATGGTCTTCACACAAAGACCAGCTGGCTGGCACGCATGTGTGTGATAGAACCCAGAAGAGCAGCTGGCGACGGTGTGTGTGCCCACAGAGAGGGCTCTGTGTGCCACCTCCGGCATGCGTGCCATATGTTCGCCATCATGGCCATAGAAGGATTCCTTTTAACATTTTGACTTCCCTAAGAAGAATTTGCTCTGAGGAATCATGAAGTTGAACAAATCTCTCCTCTGCGTCTTAAAAAAAGCTGAGCTTCTATTTAGTCCTATAGAACACCAGCATCAAAGGATCCCAGGCTGATGAATGTAAAAATGCACATATAAGCAGCAGTTCATATAAGTAGAAACTTATTTCTTCTGCAAGATCTGTAAGTATCTGCAAGAATCTTTTTCACAGCCTTGAGTGCAATATTGAAATTTCATATGTAAAATCTTCAGGTGCAAACTTCTTGTTGCTTGAAAAATATTTCTCTTTGAGACTTTTTTCATGTGGTGACCTTGCCTAATAGATTGACCAATGAAATTTCTTTGATCAGTTGATCAGTTGCTTTGTACAGTTGTTTTTGAATTGACTCTCCAATGAAGATATTTTATTCCTGAGCTCCAGCTTATCTTTGTGTATGAGCTCCCTGGGGAACCTGAAGCAAGGAGTTGCTGTTCCACATAAAGCAGGGCACTTTTATTCTTTGTCAACTAATGCCCCTATTCTAAGAAAATCAGCCAATTTCCCTGGGATTGCCACCCCAAACAAATGCTGAACTAAACTAACACATCTTGGGATTCACATTTCCTAAATGGTCTCCAGGACATTAACACTAGAAATAATGGTGCCCTGTAAGCAAAATGAAGCCAAATCACTTACTTCTGATGGCAGGACAGAAAGCCAAGACTTGTTCAGCCACTCCTGAGGATGTTGTTTAGACGCCAATAATATATGGTTAGCTATCTGGCAAACCAAAAGTGCTGTTTCTTCAACACCTGGTGTAAGGGCCATCTAAAATATATTTGCCTTTTAAATTTAGAATGAAAATTATATGAAGTAAAAAACACAAAAATAATCTTTTGATAGTTTAATGCCCAAGTGATGCTGCATGTTCACCCTCTTAGCCTAGTTGGAAAAATGTAGGAAGTGTTATCTCTATTATTTATGCTTTGATAAACTAACTGGGATTGAGAATTATAAATATATTATTCCTGTATTGTTCTGCATAATTGATTAAGGGTAGGGGAACTTCTATTGTGCATTAACTTTAAAAGACAAAGCTTTTTAAAATAGTATTCTTGTCCACAGGAAAAAGGGAGAATGTGACTAAATGAATGAAGGATTAGTCACTACTAAACTTTCTTGTATGAATCAAGCTTTAGGCTATATCTACATATACAATCACTTTTGGCTGAGCCTTGTCACACATATTTGAGAGTCCCAAAACAAGGTCAGAAAGAGGGAAATATGTGTTTAGACCAGCCTATAGGGAAAGAGAAGGCAGAGCTGGGGGGGGGGGTGAAGTTAAGAGAGTCATCAGCTGTTGGCCTAGACAAATGGTCTAAAGCCAACCTCCTTTTGAATTCCATTGACACTTACCTGGTGCCAATTTAGCATTGAATGTGAGTTGACAATATTCTTATGTATGAGCTTGAGTAATATATCTGGTGAACTGGAATTTATGTGTCATCTTGATCCTTCATTCCTGACATCAATCTATTCAATTCACATTCATTGCTAAATTGGCACCAGGTGAGAGTCAATGGAATTCAAGTAGAGGTGGGTTCCGATAGGTTCAGTCTGGTTTGGCCAAACCGATAGTGGTATGCTGGCCTGGGTCACAGAACCGGCAGCGACCCAGGATAGACATGTCTCCAAATCGGTTCTCCGGTCGCCGCCATTGCCATCTTTTTTTGAGTTCTGTGCATGCGCAGAACAATTTCTATTGAATTGTGCATGTGTGCGCAGCGCGCGCATGAGCAAACCGGCAGTAACTCCATCCAGAACCCAAGCCTGAATTCAAGGATGGTTGGCTTTACACTGTTTGTGGGAATGTAATGACTCTAGGCTGATGACTCACTTAACTCCACCCTCCACCTCTATCTGCTCTTCTACACAGTCTGAATTAGTTTAGTAAAAGAATAAAAGTACAAAATCCAAAGGGTCAAATATACTCAATCAAAGTATCCTGATTCCCAAATTAGGAATCACATGATTGGAATGATAGTGAGAAGGCCAGTAAAATGTATACACAACAAATCTGGGTACTGAATGCTGCATATATGATAACCGTTTATTGTCTGGACATAATGATTACATTATTTCTAATGTGGGGACATAGTGACACATACATTTATACACAAATTACCTTCACTTCAAAGTCTTCTGATTTCTGAGCAAAAGAAATCAATGCTGCATAAATCAAAGCAAGATGATGCAGAGTTTTTCCAGTTAGGCTATATCTAAATAAAATAGCATATTTTATTATTGTTGTTCTACACACACATAAACAGACACACACACAGAAAGACAAACAAAGACAGAAGGGGGGATGGAGGGAGGGAAAGGAGAGAGAGGGAGAGAAAGAGAAGAGGGAATGTTCCTTTTTAAAAGCCTTTTTTGAACATTTAATTTTCTCTTTAATATTTTACATTTTAAGAACACCAAAGTTGCTGCATGGTAATTTTGCTTAAACATATAGATTGAGGCAAAAATGCTACAAAATATTATATTTTTGTATAATATTAATATCCTAACTAGATAACATTATGTTTATTTGATATATGCAAGGCTAAATGCTGCAATGAAAGGAGAAAAACCTAACAAAATGTTCTATTTCCCACACAAATCTTTCCTGAACCATACAAAGAGAAAACTATATGAGTCAATTGCAATTAAGGATGACTGAATAAATTCAAACAACTCTGACTTATCCCATGAACTTGCTGGGTAAAAAATATTTACAACAGGTTAAAGTTATTTGGTATATCTACTTCGCAAAGTTCAGAAATAGATTCAGTGTCTCATCATCTGAGAAATAAAAACAAAAACAGAATGAACCTTAATGGCCTATACTCTACATGTAGACTGACTTAACAGATATATCTACAAAGTAGTTCATAGTGTTATAGTAGAAAATCTGTATCTTCAGTATACCATACAACAGTAACAACAGAGTATTCCTATTAATGCTAAAGTATGTGTCACAAACCAAGAGGTTTTTTGATGAAAAAGGGTAATGATACCGTATTTCCCTGAAAATAAGACAGGGTCTTATTTTCTTTTGACCCCCCCAAATAAGTGCTTGGCCTTATTTTGGGGGAGGTCTTATTATTTTTGAGGTGCAGGAGGCAGTGAGTGTGGTCACCTTATGACTGCTGCTGCACTGCAATATTTTCAGGGAGGCCTTATTTTTGGGGAGGTTTTATTATTTTTGAGGTGCAGGAGGCAGTGAGTGTGGTCACCTTATGACTGCTGCTGCACTGCAATATTTTCAGGGAGGCCTTATTTTTGGGGAGGGGTTATTATTTTTGAGGTGCAGGAGGCAGTGAGTGTGGTCACCTTATGACTGCTGCT